ACGTCCCTGTGCCATTTACAGGTCGATAGCGCCCTAGACATATAAAAATTTACTTTGTTCAAGAGTTCCCTTTTTTTCAAATTACTTTTACCTTTCAATGGTCCTAATACAGGGTGGGCCATTAGTGCGTAGGTGGAAGATTGCGGGATTATTAAGGTACATTTTTAAAATTCATTTTGGAGCATAGTGTAGGACTTCTAAGGCTACAACCTAAAAATATTTTCGATTAAATTTCAATTGTTCTACAGGGTGGTTTACATCAAAGTTATGTTTTTTAATAGGAACCCCCTGTATATTGAATTGCTGCTTAACGACTCATTTTAGATACCATGTGTAATACATAAAGTCACACTAAAATTGACCGAGGAATCCAAATATGCAATAATATACAGGGGATTCCTATTAAAAAAACATAACTTTGATATAAATCACCCTGTAGAACAATTGGAATTTAATCGAAAATATTTTTAGGTTGTACCCTTAAAGGTCCTATACGATGCTCCAAAAATGAATTTTAAAAAAACCGCAATCTTCCACCCACGCACTAATGAATTCATCTTAATTATAGTGCAGCCCTGGTAAAAGCAGCTTCTTTAGCAATCTCGTGCACTCGCATGAGAAGTAAACGCACACGTCGATCAATATATTGCGTAATTTGTGTAACCTATATTATTACATCTCTAATCCATACAATGTTAATCAAGTAGAAAAGTAAGACTAATCACAGTAATCGAGTTTCAATTGTTATAGAGCTATATATCTTTCCTTGCCATTGCTTTTAACCACTGTAATAACTGTAGAAAGCACAATGATGCAATGTGCTTATTATATTTTTTTCTAAACAATGACAGAGCATTGCAGATGTTTTCATTATATAGAAAGGATAGTGTTAGTTACTAAAATTAAAAAAAATAAATATTATTAGAGACTGTGATTGAAATTAATTTAGAAGCATTTCAGTATTAGTATGCGAGGGGCTTACTGAATTAAAAAAAATCTGATGTGTCCAACACATGACTTTCCTATCTAGTTATTATAGGCTTTTTCCGGTTATTTTGTACAACCTATTGCAGCAACTCTATAAATGTTTAGAGGATAAACTAAATATATACATTGTCCACATACATCTACCTCGAAACATTTTTCTATAGATATTCATTGAAAACGAAAATACGGAAAAACTTAAATTTATAACTTTTCCATTACGGTCCATTTTAAAAAAATCATTATAAACAAAAATTATAGAGATCGATATCGCAAACAACTTTTAGTTCAACAATTATCATAAAAATCAGAATTTTGCACATTTTGTCAAATTTCTCGGACCATTTCAGGAAATTTTGACATAAAACAAAAATTATAGATAATAATATTAGAAGTAACTTTTATTTGAAGAATTTTCTTCTCCAAACGTAAATAACAGATATATTCCATAAAATATAAAAACGGCCTCTCATAAAGTACCCCCCTAGATATTCCGACTTTGTCCAAAATCTGATCATTTCACGTCAGGCCGAAATAAACCTTAAGTTTAAAATTTAATGTTTTTTTCTTTATCCGTTTTTGAGTTTTCTTCAAAATTCGAAATTTACACATTTTCTCAAATATCTCGAATACGGTCCATTTTAGAGAAATTATGTATAGAATAAAAATTATAGAGAATTATATTACAAACAACTTTTATTTGAACAATTTTTATAAAAAAATATTTTTTTTACATTTTGTCAAATTTCTCGAATACGGACCATTTAAGGAAAATTTTATATAGAACAAAAATTATAGATAATAATATTAGAAGTAACTTTTATTTAAACAATTTTCTTCTCCAAACATAAATAACAGATATATTCCATAAAATATAAAAACGGCCTCTCATAAAGTACCCCCCTAGATATTCCGACTTTGTCCAAAATCTGATCATTTCACGTCAGGCCGAAATAAACCTTAAGTTTAAAATTTAATGTTTTTTTCTTTATCCGTTTTTGAGTTTTCTTCAAAATTCGAAATTTACACATTTTCTCAAATATCTCGAATACGGTCCATTTTAGAGAAATTACGTATAGAATAAAAATTATAGAGAATTATATTACAAACAACTTTTATTTGAACAATTTTTATAAAAAAATATTTTTTTACATTTTGTCAAATTTCTCGAATACGGACCATTTTAGGAAAATTTTGTATAGAACAAAAATTATAGATAATTATATTAGAAGTAACTTTTATTTGAAGAATTTTCTTCTCCAAACGTAAATAACAGATATATTCCATAAAATATAAAAATTACCACCTATAAAGTACCCCCCCAGATGTTCCGACTCTGCCCAAAATCTAATCAGTTCATTAGACGCTGGAATAAAGCTTAAGTTTAAAATTTGGTGTTTTTCTGTGTATCGGTTCATGAGTTATGCGACCTACAGACACACACACACAGACATCATCGCGAAAATAGTCAAAACGGATTCAGGGGACCTCAAAACGTAAAAATCCGTCGAAAACTCGAAGTCGAAAAAAATCATGATTCCTATACTTTCCTTATAGGAAAGTAAAAAATAGTAAAATTTAAGTAGGGGTATAAACTATATATAGATGATTGATTATACACTGGGCACCCTTTTTCAAATGTTAATTAAACGTAGTACAGTTCATCAAATTTCTAGAGGCTTTCGACGGCTAGACAGAGAAAGCACTACTGACAGGCATCCCGACGGATTTACGCAATGAAAGTACACTCTGCGCATCAAGTATTTCACTATTTCATTCAGACGTAAATGTCAGATGTAAATTTCGCTAAAACATTTCTTTTATTTTCGTTTGTGTTTTTTGCTCATTACAGTTTAATAGAACCTAAGTATGGAGTTTAATAGCAAATTAAGAGGCCGCGTGATTAACAGTCAATCTCGCGAAATAATAGCCAATGTTATAGAGTTTATGAGAAGAGAAGGAAACTTTAATTCACCTTCAATACCATTTAAAAATGTAAATGATCGTGTTGCTGCAGCCACAGGAGTATCTAAAAACACTGTCGTCCGCATTTCTGGAGAGAAAAAAAGAATCGATAACCGTGAGATATCGGAATTTTTATCACCAAGAAAAACCATTAAAAAACCAAAAACAGTTATTGATATAGATGAAGCTGCACAAGAATCAAATTTTATTTTTTTGTTATTAGATAGCTATTTTTGTTTCTGAGTTGTGTTCATTTACAGGCTCAATTTTTTTCCGTTTCTCCTTTTTGATTTTATATGGGGTTTCAAGTTGTTTTTGACTTATTTCGACGTAAATCACAACAACACACTTTTTTAATAAAGCAAACAAGTGTTAAGAGGTATATGTACGTGTAAACTACAATTAAAAAAAATTGATATGAAACCCATGAAACCACCAACAAAAATGTAAAGCTAGCTTCCGTTCTAGAACATGGTGTCATTCGTCGAGATAATTTATCGTTTTGTTTAATAGATCAAGAAATGTAAATATTCCCCTGTTATTTTTTATAAAATTATAAGAGAAATAAATTTTTTTTCTAAATAGTATAGTTTATTATTTTGTAGAAAAACAAAATTTCGAAAATTTTAGTAATGTTTCAGAAACAACCGTTATTAATAATAGGTACCATTTTCCTTAATAAGGTAGAAATAAAATATAAACTATTTCCACGATTTACAAAGGCCTACAAAAAAATTATAGGTATTTTCCGTTATCTTATAAAATTTATATTTTCTGACTCAATTTCAAAAGGTTGAAGGAATTCCAAAACACCTTTTATGGCATAATAATTATTTTCAATTCTACATACTATCTTTAGCTGCTTTTAAAAACGTTCTAAGAAAGTCCAATCAGACCAATTTAATCCCTAAACTATTCCACACTTTTAAAATTTAATTACCTAAAAATATTAAAAACTATTTAAAATAACTTGTTTAGCAGACTGTACAATACCTATCTCAGTCACACGTAGCGCGTTCTCTGTCTGGGCGTCGAACACCTCTAGAAATTTGATGAACTTGTAGTACTCATTAATGAGCTAGTTGTGCATCATAGTCCAAAGCCAAAAACTTATTACCTACTCCAAATCCACAAACTCAAAAAATTCTTTGAGCTCTTTTACACGTTTTGCATGACAGGAGAAGTGACTATAAACTTTTAAAACTAAAGTTTCTAAGTCAAATTCACATTTTTCTAATAAAAATTTTACAGAGTTATTAATCATATATGCAGGACATCCTGTAGCTGTTATTGTGCTATTAGTTTTCATGATGCAGCGAGCGATATATTGAATGATGACGTCCAAAATTTACGTTTGCATTATCGGTCGAAAAGCAAGAAACGTAATTTAAATCAAGACCCATTGCTTCAATCCTATTCTTCAAATTTAAAAATACTGCATTTGCTGTTCGTCTGGGTCATCAAAAAAGTCAAGAAAACACAGCTTTATACCAGTAGTAAAAAATCTCATAAGAATGGGAAATAATTTAAGACTTCTATGATTAGACGCGCCAGTTGATATACTAAAATATGTATTTTCTTGAAGTGTTTTTAAATCCAATTGTATAGACAAGGGTGCTAATACATTAAAGGCTGTAGAACTGGCCTTTGTACGCCCTAAATGAATTTTAATAGCAATTTTAGAATCATTATATAATAAATTATTAAGCTGACTTGAGCAGCTCATTGAATTATATGAAACTGAATGATTTACTGTGTGATATACATTAGTTATTATCACCTTTTCTTCTTCGCTGCTTAGCATATCGTCTTGCCGTGACCGTGAGAGAAAAGCTACCATGGTTTCATTTTATTGGATGATAAGGGTATGCTTTTGTGCTCTGAAGAAGATGCGTGCCTTTTAATATCACCTTCATATTCAAATAGAAATAACTTCTTACAAACCTTGCAAAAAGCTTTTAACTAGTGTGATTCGGTTTTTTCTTCCTTTAGCCATTGAAATTACGTTTCCCATTCCTTCCGGTACTTATTTTGCCGTTTTCTGTTTTTAGATGGCGCCGGTTCCGGACTATTGAACCTTGGATTTCCTCGCCCTCGCTCGAATCAGGTGAGTCCATTTTATTTTTCTAAAAGTCAATTTACTGAAACTTAAGTTTATTTAACTGGTTTAATTATTATGAATACAGTAGAAATTAAATATACATTATATACTTACGATAAATTAAGACGAAAGGCTAACCAATAATAATTACCTTCTAAAACCGCTAAGAAATTATGAACGATAAATAGCAACAGCAAAAACGACAGATTTTGTCGCTCAACAAATCACGTCGTGCCGTCGCCCATAATGCGACTGCGAGAGTGTTGACAACCTTGAGGTAAGCTTTTTCCTTCCATTTTCATTAAAAATTACCTCTTTTATGAAAAAATTCTTTCCCCTTAACAAAATCGGTTTTATACCAGAAATACAAGCACGTAAATATTTTCAAAAAAAAGATTTATTGAAAGAAAAACGAACATACATTAAAAAGTATAACCTAAAAACATTAATCTTTTAACAAAACTTTAAAAATACGTCAATTAACAATTTTAATTTTATTTATTTTTAAAAAGATACATTTTTCACAATTTGTACTGGAGTAAAAATTCCTGTTTTGAGTTATATATCCCTTTTTCCGTTTTGTGTTGAAAATTCCCGCAAAACGGGAAATTTTCCTTCGGTTGGCAACACTGCGCGCAAGTTGTGCAACAGTGCAATGTTGTTGGATGTCGTCAAAAATAATTAGATCATCTAATTCTTTTATCCTATTGTTTGAACAACTGGCTAAAATCCAGGACAAAATGCATCCTTCTTAAGGGCTCGGAAAGACGAAGGACAAATCTATTAAAATCGCTTGAAATCCAGGACGTCTTTCCTAATACAGGACGGTTGGCTACCCTAATACGAGACCGCTAAACAAGTATTTCTATACCTCCTTATTTACCTCGTTCCAGTTGCAGTTGACCTGGAAGAGTCTGTTAAAGGTTAGGCTAGATGTCATATGATGTAATCCCATTCCTTGTTTAATATACTGCCGTCCTAGCAAGAAAGTTCCTATCTGAACATTTGTTGTTTGGAAATAATCGAGTTTTTAACTATTTTTCGCAGACATATATGATTATCTTCCAAACCTCTTTTGTGAAACTCTTTTACGTTTTAGTACCTTTAGGACACAAATAGGACATTCCGTTTTGGTATCAAAAAAGACAAAATGTGGGCAAATGAAAAGAGATTGAAAAAACTGCTAATTTTGCAGATATAACCTTTCTTGTTAGGACGGCAGTATAGAGGAAGCGACTCTACTGAAGACAATCACCAACGTAATCCAGATATAAAAAAATTATCTTCATTTTGTTTTACTTCTCTAGCAGAAGAACCAGATATAGTAATTATTGATAAACAGGTGCAGGTGGGTTAAAAATAAGTGAATTGTTTTAGGCTACAAATTAAGAAATACAAGACGAACAAAGGTAAACTGGTGTTACGGGTCAAAATATCGTAGCCAAGTTAAAATGGCAGAGCTAGTAAACAATACACAACTTTATTTTTATTTATGATTTAATTTAACTTCTAATCTAATCCTAAATCTATTCTAAGTTATTCTAATCTAATCCTAATCTATTCTACCCTAATCTAAGTTATTCTAATCTAATCCCAAATATATTCTACCCTATTCTAATCTAAGTTATTCTATTCTATTCTACATTAATCTATTTTATAATCTAGACCTATTCTATTTTGGATTTGTTTTACTTACAGAAACCGTTGTATGAATCGTAAGACTTCTAATTTTGTAGCTTATTCTACTTTCAACCCTATTCTAACCTTTCCTATTATTTTGTTAGAATGATTACTTTTAATGAATACTTTAGAACCCAAAGAAATGCCTGTTGCTACAGGAAATAGTACACATAACTCTTTTACATATCTGATGGTTTTAAATATAGGTTAATTATTGTTTGTTTTTGTTTACATTCACTTTTATGAAGTGTCACATTCTTCTTTTACTGAGGGGCCACACTCTTACCAGACTTTGTCCTGCTAGTCTTTAATAGTCAAGACCTTCCATTGACTTCCCACCATTTTGGGAACTTCCTTTTGTCAGTTTTTATCTGCTCAACTTTGTGGTAGCATGTGCTATTTTCTCTAGTGTATCTAGGATTTGACTTGAGCTAAAGAATAAAAACTGTGAAACCAGTCTAAAGAATTAGTTGATAAATCTTTGTGATTTCTGCACCATTCGGTGGATTTTATATAATCTTTGACTTTGATTCCTACAAAAAGGTCGCCCTACACCTAAAGGTGAGTGTCTAATATTAAATATAATTATTCTCTTACATGGCTTACCTATCGCTTAAGGCTGTTTATATGTGTGGCTTATACTAATCCTTCTTACAGACCTTCAATTTCACCTTCAACTTTAACTTCAACTTCAGTTTCTACTTTAATACTTATTCTACTTCTATCTATCTGGGTATTTCTTTCTGTGGGATCTATCGACTTTCCTTCGGACTAATACACTTCCTTCCAAGCTTTCTTCGTGGTACTATCACTAAACTGCTACAGCTTTTGAACACTGCCAGCTGCTAACATTCTACAAGGATTGGGTGCATGTTTAGCTAGTTTAGGAAGCCAGGTACCCCAGAACCAACCCCTACATCAAATCGGCTGGATCTAGCCCTCCTTGTACAGACAGGTCTGAGGTACGACGCAATATTGAGGACGACGGGACAACAGAGATATAAAGTAAGACTATTCCTTATAGCCAAGGGCCCCATTTATCGTTGGTACCACATGACCTCAACCGGGGTCCACTAAGTGCGATTCTACCTGCAAAGGTTTTGAGATAATCGAGATAATTTACGTAATTTACCTTAAAAATTGATAATATTAGGGTTATATATAGAGGTAAAGCCATTTTATAAAGCTTACTTACAATTCTGGATTACCGTTTGTAACATTTAGGCCTATTAGCGGACGTGTACCTCGCATTGTAACGATAATTTGTAGATACAATTGCATGATATATATAATTATTATTTTACCTACTGAATCACGGCGTGGTATTTTTTTTTTATATTCATATTATATATATATATATATATATATATATATATATATATATATATATATATATATATATATATATATATATTTATTTTTTTTTGTTACTCTTCGTTACATCTAACCTCTGAAATAAATGTCAGACGCTGTCAAAAATTAAATTGAATTTATAAAAATTTGCGTTGTGTCTAAGAACCCGACCCTACTCTCCCGAATTTTATAAAACTGAGCTAGTAAAAAGAAATAACCCTTCCATCCCCTATAAATCTGAAGGGGAAAAGGTAATAGTGGACATACTTTTTCTTTCAGGTCATATTACTTTATAATATGTGATTCCAGATAGTGTCATAACTAAATAGTAGTTTTATCTAGAACTCATTGCGGGTTTATAACCAATCCACTGTCAATTAAATATACTCGGTGCTAGTCTAGAATCCAGTACGAGTCCCAGGTTCACTGTGCACCTGTTAAATTACTAAAGAAGATACTGGTTTTTTGATAGTGTTGTCAGACATCTAGCAAAATTTTATATGAATGCTATGAATATAATATCATACTCGTATTATTTGGGAGATATTGCTACATTCAGTTAATTACATCTAACCATTTCAGAATTGTAATTATTTACATTTTAAGCTTCTGCTTTGAGTTTTAAGACTTGAATCAAAAATAAGACGAGCCACTTTATGAAACTGAAAGGACATTGCCAAATGAAAATATACTTCAAATTGTGGGCTATACATCAATAGCATTTCCAAAGTTGACAATTTGAAAAATGTTTAGGTCATCTGCAAAAAGTAAGAAATTACTCTGCCGAAAACAGAAAGTTACATCGTTGACAAATACATTAAAAAGAAGGGGTCGCAGATGGAACCTTGGGGAACTCCAGAAGTAACAGAGTAATGATGGGAATAGTGATATTTTACTTTGACTATTTAAGTTCTATTAAATGCATTACAACTTGTAAAAATATGCCAAAACCAAATTTACTTAGTTTTTGAATTAACAATTCATAATTCACTCTATCGAACGCCTTGGAAAAGTCTGTATATACGGTATTAACCTGACACCCCATATCCAGGGCTTCAGAAATAAAATTAGCATAGACAATTACGTTCAATTCTGTTAACTTGCATGCGCGAAAGCCAAATTATTGCGAATTTATGACTAGCGCAGTCATGAGTTAAGTAGTCCGTAGTAGTGTTTTCAAAGAACTTTGGGATTTGGGATTATTCTAATTTTAGATATATGACGGTAGTCTTTAATGTCAGATTTTTTACCAGACTTGGTGTGATGTATGAGAGTTTGAAATAATCCTGAAAAACTCCCGAATCAAATTATTTGTTAAAAATAAAAAACAGATGATGATACAATGCAGGGGGGAATAGCCTCAGGACCTGGTTCCTTTCTTGTATCAAGTTTAGCTAACTTCTCACAAATATTGGAAAATGGAATATGATATATATGATATTGAAATAAATACAGGGTGTCTGTAAAAGGTCTTTACAAAAACATACCACAAATTCCTTTTACCAAAATAAGTCGATTTAAGTAAAATTACCTTAGTACAAAGTTGCTTCGTTTGGGCTCCAGATGGCATTGAAGTTACAATTTTTAAATACGTTTTTCCCATATAAATTTAAAACGGCATATGCGATTTTGCTGAAATTTGGTATATTGGTAGAGTTTTATGTGGCAAAAAAACTGTATTAAAATTTTGTCCGATAATAATACATAGGCGTAGAACTTGATTATTTAAATAAATGCACCTTTAAAAATTCTACGCCAATAGAAGAAAAGGAGTTTGAGTATGAAATTTAGATTGCGCAACTCATTTACTTTAAAAAAGGTACTCTTGATAAAAATCGATTACTCTCATGGTTTTCGCTAAATTTCTGTTTTAATAATTTAGAGTGTATAGGTTTCACAAAAATATTTATTTACAACATAATCAAAATAGAGATTTTAAAAACATTGTTCAAAATGTTCACCATTGTCACGCA